GTGACCATCGATGTTAGCACATGCAACAAAAGATGATCCAAAATCAGATAGATAATACTTACAAATAGAATATATACGTTGGCATGAAATAATATCAAAAGTTTCCTTTCGGAGGTATTCGATAAAATTTCGAATTCAGTTTATACTGGAAAAATATACCATGTTGTCAATTGTAGCCAATTTGATTTGTCATGGACAATATATTTTGTCCACGGTTCATATTTCGTCTCCCCTCTCCCATTGCCAAGTACAAATTGATTTGGATTTCAAATTTTGTGTCATGTTGTGTCGTTGTAACCATTTTTTTAATGTTTGTCAGAAACATGAATTATGTACTAGTTTTTTTTTAGGCAAACGAATTATGTACCAGTGAACCTTTTATTGCATGAAATGTACCAGTGAACCTACTCTGTCTAGTTCAAATAATGTTGTTTTTTGTGGACATTTTGGACATCTGTAAGTCAACATTTTAAAAAACAAAATTACATGTATATATTTATCTTGAAAAATATTATCCGTGTATTTTTCCTTGAACTACAATATAAAAATCTTGATTAAAGTCAAATATTAAAGATTATGGGAATGTCCCAAACATAACCTTTCTGTGGTTTAAGAGAGCAAGTAGGAAACATATAACCTAAATAGGATTTTATATATTCTAAGGTTTACTCAAGAAGTTCATAGTTTTTCTTTGTTTTTTCCTAAGAAAAAGATCTAGATTTATTCATTAAGTAAGCAAAATACATCAAAGACAACGAAGAACATACACCCTAACAAAACCAAAAATTACACCATGTTTCTTCGAAATTGTTGCCACTAGCTTCAGTATTTTTGCATCTCCGTGTTTGTCCAATCCTTCGATGAAGAAACCGTTGAAGACTAAAAATGCACAAGTTAAGCTAACTACGTAGTTTTAGAAAAGCTACATGTGCCCAACTGCAATAGGTGAGAACCTAAAATCGCTGAACGCGTGTTGACTGAGTGTATTTTGCAAGCGAGGTCATGGAACCGCTATTTTGTTGTTGAAATTTTGGGGAACAATATCGGAAGTACACCAAGGCAAAACATGAGAAATGGGCCATGCTAAACACAATAGGCACGGCATCCAACCTGAGAATCGTATACTATGCGCTACAAACATTGAGGTATTCCCAGTGTTACTGAACTCGAAAAACTAATTATGAAGAGTCTCAGATTTTCTGAGAAACAAATGAACCATACGTAGAATATTTATCAATCATGCCATATAAATTCAAATAAAAGTTTGGAATAAAACTCTAGGGCAAAATTTGCCACGAAAATAAAGACAAATATGGCTAAAAATGAGAGTTACTCCCTTAGTCCTATAATATAAGAATGTTTTTTACACAAATTGGGCTACTATTTTTTAAACTATGTACACGTACTGATTTTGTTTCTGAAATTTTATGAAATAATTTCATACTCCCTCCCTTTCTAATATAAGGCATTTTAGAGATTTTAATATAGACTATATATATATATATATTAAAGTGTAGGTTCACTCATTTTACTTTGTATGTAGTCCATGTTGAAATCTCTGAAAAGACTTAGGAACAGGGAGTACTTAGCGAAATTATTTCATAGCAGTGCACGGGAGATTCCAGCCCAGCTCGGCCCAGCCCAGCCCAAGGACACATATTCATTCGTCACTAAGAAAAAGGGGAGTACAAATTCGGTCGTTCTTCATTTCTGAAGCCACCGCTGCCGCCTCCTTTTGCCTTGGCCCGCCCCGATTCCAGCGCCGCCCAACCAGCCGCGCCACTGCTTCCACTCCCCGTCGTCACGGCGGCGTCCTCCGAACCCCAGTTCGCGGCGCCGACGGCCCATCTCCGGCGCTGTTGCCGATTTCCCCCGGTACACTTCAGCTGAAAACCACCCATATTTCGATCCAGTAACCGTAAGACGCCGCGGCCGCCTCCCTAGGGTTCCGACTCGAAGATCCCTGGATCGCACTATCGCGGCGAGGCGACGGCCGGCGACGAGGTGAAGCCTGTCGACGCGAGCGACGGGGACACAGCTGCCGCTCGTGGCGAGGAGCTGCAGCCCGCGCCCCTGCCCGAGGATGTGCTCGCCGAGGTCCTCCGCCGCGCTGGATCGCCGCCTCCCGCTGCGTCTGCACGGCCTGGCGCGACGCCATCGATGCGCGCGACCTCCTGCACGCCGACCTGTTCCCGTTCTCCCTCGCCGGCCTCTTCGTCCACTTCGACGAGCACAAGTATCCCGAATTCCTCGCCCGCCCCTCCTCAGTGGCTGGCGCCCCCGCCATCAGCGGCAACCTCAGCTTCCTGCCCTCCGCCATCCCTCATGCCGGCACTATATGGGACGACGACTGCGATGATTGGCGTGACTATAACATCGATGATCACTGCAATGGGCTCCTCTTGCTTCGCGGTAACCGGGTGGTTAACCCTGCCACCCGATGCTGGAGTGCTTTGCCACCGTGCCCTGCTCCCAAGGATGGCACAGGAAACGTGTGGTACAGTGGGCATCTGGTCTATGATCCGATGGTATCACCGTACTACGAGGTGTTTATGACCCCCCATTTGGATGACTATCATTCTGAAGATGAGGTTGACCCCTCGATGGAGGAATCTGAATGGCCACCATCACAATTAAAGATATATGTATTCTCATCAAAGTCGGGTTGCTGGAAGGAGAAGTATTTTTTTCGACAAGGGGGTGCTACAGGGATTGTCAGTGAGAGGCACATGGGTTACAAGCGATCCAATGGCGTCTATTATCGAGGAGCACTTTACGTACTCTGCAGTGTTTATTTAATTATGAGGTATGTGGTTTCTTAGTTTATATTTTATTTCACTTCTACCCTGCCATTTTGTTCTTAGACAGTTTTGTACATTGATTTGATTCTGCAGGATATCATTGTCTGATAATACGTACAGTGTAATTAAACCACCTGTCATGGATACCAGAGCACACGACTATCCTTGTGTCGAGATTGTTAGATCAAAAAAGGGGGTGTACTTTGTGGCATTTGATAGGTACTGGCCTCAGCGTAAGTGTTGGCTTGGTGTTTGGATCCTTAATGAATCATGTGGTCAGATGGGGTGGATGTTGAAGCATGACAAAGACCTTAAGCATGCGCTAGCACATCACCGATATTGTGGACGACTTCATTGGATCTTAGAAGATATTAACTATAACCTGTTTTGTTCTTCTAGTTTCCTAGAAGGCAACAAGAAAGCAACCACTGAGGAGATTTTTGAATGGAACTCTGACGATGATGTTGAAAACGAGAACTTGGTTAAGCATTGTTGCTTAGAAGACAACAAGAAAGCCATAATTGAAAAGAAATTGGATTGGAAGTACAACAATCGTAATGTTGTTAACAATTGTGATATGGTTGAAGAGTGTCACTGGGGTGAAGAGCATTATGATGATTCATATGATGGAGACATTGAGATACTTGGGTTTCACCCATACAAAGAGATTGTCTTCTTGAGTAGTACACCAGAGTGGACAGCACTGGCATATCATTTGAATGGCTTCAAGATTGAAGAATTAGGGAATATATACCCAAATGATTATGGTCATTTCAAACAGTTAAGTAATGAACAGGAGAGGATCAAATCTTTTCCATACACCCCATGTTGGATTGAAGAGTTACCTAGGAACAATTAGTCTAGAAATTCATCTCACATACAAGCCTATTTTAGTTGCCATCTATTTAAGAGATGTATAAGAAATGACTTGCACAAGATGTTTGTGTCATCTATTTTTATGTAATGTATATGTAAGGATTGGTCCATTTCTATTGAAAAAGATGTTTCAATTATGTTTGTGTTTTTGGTTGTGGGTATTGTTATTTTTTTAAATCGCTACAACTTACTAATAGTACTCCCTCCGTCCCTAAATAAGCGACACTTATTCTGGGACAGAGGGAGTATGTTTTTTCTTTTTTGAACAAGAGGGAGGCGCCATTTATTCCAACTTCAAAAACAGATTACAGAGAGGATCACAATGTCCTGTAGAGTGATATATCAGCTAGTTTCGTCCTTTGAGTCATGCAGTCCTAGGAATGTGTATTTTTCCTTTTGAGTCGAGCTCCCTGTTAGCTTCAAACATCTCACTCCTTTTGGATGAAATTGTCTGGACAGGCAAAGTTTCTTCCCTGTAGACCAGGCACTTTTTTCCTATGTGGGAGTTTAGGGATACAAAGTTCGACGAGGCAACAAGTTTACTGCAATTTAAATGTTCATGTGTTTTAAGATGCCAGTAGCTACATGGATTCTAAGTCAATGTCAAATTTCCGTCCTCTGTATGTATTGTTCGAATGTTCCTACATTCCCCATGGAAATGCCAACTCAAATTAACAGATTGCACTTGCAGCAAAACAAGATCTCAGCTGCACTTCGACAAGGGTATAATTAAGTTAGTAGTATGTTGCTAATTCACATCCAGTGTCTTGTCCTGACTGTCTAGGTAGTCAAGAAGAAGCAAGCAAACATCTGTGGTTTTCTTGGTCCTTCCTGGCCTGTCATATACTGAACTTCGTTCCTTTCAAGATCTACTTCACAATGAATATGCACAATGCTTCAGGTAAGAAATGGTTCAATTTTTATTTTTTTTGCTGAATTAAACTAAAATTGTGATGTGGAAGTCATCCCATTGATAAATCTGAGAGTGCTACTTCAGTCTAAAAAGTTTTTGCAAATATTAGGAGTCAGAGTTGCTGAATGTTGATCATCCAAATTCTGAGATGTGACTACTTCTGATCAAAGGAGTACAATTTGGTATTGCCATGGTAGGTCTGTGCCGATATATGGAAACAAAGAATGATTTTATCAGTCCCAGGAAACAGTCATGTATGTGCGAAGCAGGACAGAAGAGAAGGATGTATTTTGTGGGCAGTATCCTTTGTTAAGGTAGAACATAATCATTGTCCAGTCCAAATAGCTTTCTGACAACAAAAGGTTGACGAAATGGTAGCCACAAAGCTCCTATGCTTCTCACAGTCTGATCGGAACACATAGTCCAAACCAGAAAAAGAAGAGACACGATCAGAACAGCTTGACCCAGGTAGTTTTCCTACGGCTCACCGCCTCTCCGAATCAAATTGAAATTATAGGTTGAACCTTTGAAGTCCTACGAAATATACTTCTAGTACATCCAAGGTTGGTCTTAGGTATTACATATATATTTCAAACAGATAACTAATTAAAGGGAAGTTATCATATGTTTATGATTGTTGGCTGTGCATTTTCTCCTGCTACAACAATACTCCTGAAATATATACTCTTGAAATATGTACTACTCCCTCCGTTTCTAAATATAAGCCCTTTTACAGATAGTCCATATTGGAATATCTAAAAAGACATATTTAGGAACGGAGGGAGTAGTACATTTTAAAAGGGTAGCAAGTTTTGAGGTAATATGTTTCTATTTTCTATTTTACATCTTTACTCTTTTGTTAAGATAGAATTGATTTAATTCATTAATAAATATTTCCTTATCCTAATCTGCATGTAAATAGCATATATGGCTAACTTTGTATGCTACATGTACATTCAACAAACGCTTTGCTGTTTCCTGGCTGTGTGTACACTGTTAATTTTAAACTGTTATACTTCTGTATCTTTTATTATCAGTCTTGTTTTTTTGCACTTCAGGAATTTAGGGGTACGAAGTCGAACAGACAATTAAGTTCACTAGTTTAGTGTTGATTTTTTTATGGTGGCAGGAACAACATGGACTGTAAGTCAGGCGTTGTACTTCACACGTCTGTATTTTCACCCCGTATGTATCTGTGTACTTTGAATTGTTTCTACCTTCCTCGTTGGAGGGCTAACAACTCGATACTCAGTGAACAACAACTGAAGCATGAGCTTAATTTGTGTCGCTAAATTGTGGCTGCCATTGTTGGTGAATGGTGACCTGCCATCTATGTTTCTGGCTTGGGAACGAAGGATTACACCTACTCAGATAACAAACTGGAATTCTTCACTCGAAAACCCACCAACACCAAAGAATTGCCACGACGGTCAATCGTTTTTTTTTCCGCTAGGGATTGGACTTGTCGCATCATTCGCCCATGTTATTGAAACTGATTGTAGAGCTTGAAATTGGTGCCTGTGTTCCACAGTGGTTGCTAAAACGTTTCATTTCTTATAACACCTAGAGAGCTGGTACCTTGTTCTTCAAAGAGTTATCCTTCCCATGTGGTACTTTAGGTGGATAGATTTTAGTGTAATGCTAGTAGTAAACCAGAAAAATTGTCAGGCAACCGTCTCAATGGTTAACTTTCAGTCTGCCTCGGTAAAAATAATGCAGGATCTCTAGGTTTCAGTTTTGGTTTTCTTGTTCACGTTTCCCTTTTTATCTATGTATCCAACTGTGGAATTCATATTTCTCTTTTGTACCTTTACACATGCCGAGGTACCAAATTACCATCACCTACAGAAGCTCAAGATTTCAGGATTCTAAGTTCCAATGGTGTATCTGTCAATACATAGGCAAGCTTGTGTTCTCCCCTTCAGATGAGAAAAATGCAGCTTGTAAAGTAACTCAGCAGTCACATTCACAGTGATATTACTAGTAAATTAAGATATTTTATTTATTTCTCTGTGACCACTATACTTGGGAGTCCAATCAGGCACTTCAATGTTCAGTCTCCTCGATATAATCAGAATGCCTGAAAGGGACACTAGTAAGTATTATTTCCTTTTTGTCATTGATATCTGTGGTCCGTTTCATATGTTTGATCAGTTTAAATAATTTCTTGCTATATTTCATAAAGTTTAATTTCCATGAATTAATATTTTTCTCATTTTGTTTTCAGGCTCCTGCTACTATCTATGTCTGCAGCTTGATTGTTTCTGTTATGCTAAATGTTTGAGGATCTTATTAAACTTTAATTTATCTATTTCCTTCATCAACTCAAGGGGAGTTCCTTTCTTTGGATGCTCCAACTCAATAGAATCCTATGAAACTAGACTGACGAGTTGGCGTAAAAAAAACTGCTCCTGATTGTCAGCCAGCAGCAGGAAGCACATGTTCATTATATCAAACCTAACATGTGAGTTAATCTTTCACCAGATCATTCTTCTCATCCAAAAGCAGCAATCAAAATACCCACACTTACCATCAAGATTACAAAAGTATGTCACACTTTGTCACCTAATTCACCAACACACAGAACACATGAATATGAACTCTAAAAAACAAACCAGAGCCTGGCAAGACAGCAAGCCCAAGACAATTGAAAATACTTTACCCTTAAACTCTCACCAGATCCAAGAACACTACTTCCGAGAGGACTTCCTGTCACCCTCCCCCCTCCTCCCCCTCCTCCCGCGACGCCCTGCAGGCGCACGGGAGGCTAACCCTAGCCGCCGGCAGGGCACCGATCCTCCCCTCCCTCGCCGGTGCCAGGGGTGCGACTGGGCGAAGCCCAGCTGGCGCCGGCACCTGCGGGGTGCTCTTCTTCCCCTCGCATGGGTGGCGAGACGCGGGGTGGCTCACCCTGGTCTGGCTGCTGTGCTAAGCGCCGGGCGCAGCAGCACGACGTCACGCCGGGACTGGTCGACGGTGGCAGCGCGGCGGTGGTGCGTTGGGCGGCGCAGTGGTGGCGGGCGCGCCTTGGTTGCCAGGGTTGGCGAGGTCGGGGCGAGATCTGGAGCAGGGTGGCGCGGGCTGCAGGTCTCTGCCCCTACCATGGCCACGGCGGGTGGTGGTGCGACGTAGCAGCGACGGGCAAGCCAGAATCCCGGGGCTACAACGGCTGGACAACGGCAGGCAACGCAGTTGCGCTCCTCGGTGAGCTTCCTTCGCCATTGGCGGCGGTCTTTGGGGTCTCTTCTTGCCGGTGGGTGGGTGTGTTGGTGGCCTCGCGTGGAGCTGCGGTCACCGCCGAGGTGGGGCGACAGAGGAGGTGTCCGGTGGGGAGGCAGGCTGGAGGGATGGGAGGCGCGCTAGCACAGGGGTGTGCCACCCTGAATGCATCCGCTCCCCCTCCTCTGTTCCCCGACCGTATGTGGGCTGACGCGGCTCCGGCCTTGTTTGAGGCGGGATGCATGTTGCGGTCTCTTCGGTCTGGTGGGTCCTTTGGCCCAAAGCCGGTCACTTTGGTCAGTTTTGGGGGTGTCTGGATGCAAGGCTAGGATGCATCGGAGGGGTGGGTGTGTCGGGTTACATCACTTGGCCAATCTTGTATTGACCGACGACGGCGGCGTCCGTGGATACCGTATCCTTAATGAAGGCTCTATCGCTGTGCCCTTACTCCTTCGAGTTGCTCCGCGTGAAACTTGATCTTTGGGATCGGGTGGTGGAGGCTATTAGTGGTCGTTCCCTTCTAGGATGCACCATTTTGAAGTCCTTGTTCCATCGTTTCCGTCTCACCTCTCCTCGGAGGATTGGAGGTCTCCGTTGGCTCCAAGCGGTCCATCCTCAAGCATGTGTTGTGGCTTGGTAGTCGTTGGGTGGTGTGGCGGTGCTCGAAACCTTTGTATCTTACTTTGGGTGTGTGTGTCGCGTGCGGCGGTGGCGTGAGTTTGTATCGTGATGCTTCTGGTTGGTGCTTTATATATAAAGCGGGTCGAAAGCCTTTTTCGGTAAGAACACTACTTTCTCCTATCCAAAATAATGAACTAAGACCACGACACTAATTTTGGATCGGAGGGATTAATTAAAAGGCCCCCACTAAAGTCCCACTATTGATGTTTTTATGATGGCTGAAACTGATCGTAACTCCTCGTCTTGATCCTCGATTAATAGAGCTCTCTCTTTTTTGTCAAAAAAAATAGGGCTCTCTCTTCCCATCAAAAGAAAATTTAGGCATAATGTGAAAGAATAAGAAATAAGAATAGCAGAAATATGATATGCCCAGCTGCACGTTCCAATAATATTCCCTTAATCACCACAAAAATAAAACATACCTCTCATATTGTGCCGCGAGCTGTTTTTGTCGGAAAAGTACTACTACTAAATTGATTCTTCAGTTTTTTCATAAAATAAATAAATAAATTTATTCTTCAGATTTAATTAAGTTTAATATCAATCAAAAGAAGTATAAAAGAAGATAAATTCATAATCAATTTGTTGCAGCGTACAGATGGATCGCTTGCTGGTCTCCCGTCGGGGCTACTGCTGCGTACTACGTCCTCCATAAAGAAATATTGTTTATGGAGAGGGCACAATCGATCTAAAGTTCTGGACACGTTCTCTCTGACTTCTCATTTCCAAACCGCTCGCAGGCCCCATATCTTATAACACGCACGCTGCGCCGCTGCCTCCTCGTCGAACTAAAATCCTAATCAATCTAGGTTTTCCAGATCAAATATCATCCAGGTAGGAGAGACATGGCCGGCGACGAGGACAAGCCATGGAAGGCTGCTCGTGTCAATGACAGGGAGCCTCCTCGCCGATGAAGGCTGCTCGTGTCAACGCCTTCACCGGATCTTAGAAGATATTAACTACAAGCTGTTTCGTTCTTCTAGTTTTCTAGAAGGCAACAAAGAAGCAACCACTGAGGAGATTTTTGAATGGAACTCTGACGATGATGTTGAAAATGAGAACTTGGTTAAGCATTGTTGCTTAGAAGACAACAAGAAAGCAATAATTGAAAAGAAATTGGATTGGAAGCAGTTTGGAAGTACAACAATCGTAATGTTGTTAACAATTATGATATGGTTGAAGAGTGTTACTGGGATGAAAAGCATTATGATGATTCATATGATGAAGACATTGAGATACTTGGGTTTCACCCATATAAAGAGGTTGTCTTCTTGAGTGCATCACATCATACAACACTGGCATATAATTGTTAGAAGTATAATTATGTTTAAATTAGAGATTAGGAGTTAGAGATAGGATTGGTTTAAACCATGTACGACTTGTCCCCTACTTCAAGTCTCTCTTACAATGTACTCTATATATACCATATATGAGGGTTGGATCAATATAACAGAAATAACACAATATCTATTCATCCATACAATATTTTCCATATGGTATTAGAGCGGTTTGTCCAACGACGCTGATCCTAGGACCTTCCACCACTTCCGTAGCTCGCCGCCCCCGGGGAGATAAATCTCCTCTCTCCGAGGGCGCGGCACCCGATCAATCAAAGATTAGATCAGTCACGTAGTTTTGGATCCAATTTTTCGAGTTCACAATCAATAGATCAATTCCTTAGTTAGATTCGATCAATTCCTTTTAGCCACAAAATAAAATCGCTAAATCTACCCTCAAAATTCCGGTGAAAATCAAGCTTTGGTTGGTCTACACGACGGCGGGGCATGTTGTCGACCATGGGGGACGTAGTCACCGATAGACTGCGGCTTCTCAGGCTGCGGCTTCTCAGGCGAAGACGGCGCACCGGCGAGCTGACACGCGCGTTCACGGGTGGGTGTAGCTCCCGTAGAGATTTTCATCGTGTACGAGACTACGAGTACGCGGATCTCACAACAACGATCAAGATCACGCCCGTTTGGATCACGGGAGGGCGGACTCTCGCACGCGGATCTCCGGGCTGACACCTCCAGTACGCGGCTCGACATGTCTGTAGCTCCATCAACCCGCACGACCTCCTGGGGCGGCCTCACACACGCCGTAAGCAGCAGCAGTTCCAGGTACAGGACGAGTCACTCCCAGTAATTCATCACGCAGATGCACCATCAAGCTTCACATACATGCACGGCACGACCAAGTGCGTGCTGATGGATATGAGTATGCTACGATCGAGCTCCAACCAGATAGCATCGGCATCGAGCTTCTTCCGGACCCGGCTCCACGCGTCTTCAGCTTCATCGACATGTCCAGCATCAGCATCTCACGCACGCGGCGTCAATCTGCAGTAGTTCCTGCGGCACATCTACTCCAACACGGAGGGGTGCAGCCAGCCGAACACATCTACACCGAGCCGGCCTGTTGCAACTGCATCGACATCTACACCAATCTGACACATCGATCTACACCGAGCATTCTGCATCAATATTCAACAACCCGAGCCGAACTACATCAACCTGTACGACTACGCGAGGCTATGAGCCAACATACTTCTTCAGCACGGCGCGACATCGACAGTTCATCGCCGTGGAGGGACGCCTTCTAGCGACACATCATTGTCGACATGCCGCTGCAACATCATCGCCGACACTTCATCATCAAGATCTTCATCAACGTCGTCTTCACCAACATCTTGATCAACACACCGCCGCCGCCTCGTCCACAAGATGGGCACCTAGCGTCCTCTGACAGACTTTTCTGCAAGACGTGACCTCGACGACGGCAATGACCGCGTCACGACAACAGCATCGACCGCGTCATCCACGACAGCACGACTGCATCGACATGGCGTCACTATAGTGATGACCCCTACACGGTCACATGGTTCTGGCAAAACTGATGTGTGCTCGATGGGTTTCCTCCGGTGTTGGCAAAACTGGTGGTGGACTCATCACCGACGGCACCCTCTGACATCCGCAAGGTGCATCGTCCACGACTGCAGCTTCGTCATCTACAACATCGTGCAATCTTCAGACATGTCTTCGTCATTTATCAGGATGCATGGTTCAGTCTTGACTTTGAAGGGAGGAATTTCATGAAACTTTTCATAATCTTCAGACATGTCTGTCTTGCCCTCCACTCCCACGATGTCCCTTTTTCCTGAAAGAACTATGTGGCGTTTTGGCTCAACGTATGATGTATTCGCTTCCTTATCTCTTCTTTTTCTCGGTTTGGTAACATGTCCTTCACATAGATAACCTGTGCCACATCATTGGCTAGGACGAATGGTTCATCAGTGTACCGAAGATTGTTTAGATCCACTATTGTCATTCCATACTGTGGGTCTACCTGTACCCCGCCTTTTGACAGATTGACCCATTTGCACTTAAACAAATGGACCTTAAAATCATGTCCGTAGTCAAGTTCCCATATGTCCACTATGTAACCATAATATGTGTCATTTCCCCTCTCGGTTGTTGCATCAAAGCGGACACCACTGTTTTGGTTGGTGCTCTTTTGATCTTGGGCGATCGTGTAAAATGTATTCCCATTTATCTCGTATCCTTTGTAAGTCAATACAGTCGAAGGTGGCCCCCTGGACAAGGAGCACAACTCATCACAAACAGTGTTGTCACCTCTGAGACGTGTTTCCAACCAACTGTTGAAAGTCCTGATGTGTTCACATGTAATCTAGTCGTCGCACTGCTCCGGGTGTTTGGAGCGCAGACTGTTCTTGTGTTCATCGATATACGGGGTCCCAAGGTAGAGTTCTGTAGAACTGTGTAGTGTGCTTGAGACCAAGAATATCCGTCCCTGCATATTTTTGAGTCCTCTCCAAGCCTGTCTTTTCCAATCAGTCTCCCCTCATACCGTGATTTAGGGAGACCTATCTTCTTAAGGCCAGGAATGAAGTCAACACAAAACCCAATGACATCCTCTGTTTGATGGCCCATGGAGATGCTTCCTTCTGGCCTAGCGCGGTTACACACATATTTCTTTAGGACTCCCATGAACCTCTTAAAGGGGTACATATTGTGTAGAAATACGGGCCCATAATGACAATCTCGTCAATTAGATGAACTAGGACGTGCGTCATGATATTGAAGAAGGATGGTGGGAACACCAGCTCGAAACTGACAAGACATTGCACCACATCACTCCTTAGCCTTGGTATGATTTCTGGATCGATCACCTTCTGAGAGATTGCATTGAGGAATGCACATAGCTTCACAATGGCTAATCGGACGTTTTCTGGTAGAAGCCCCCTCAATGCAACCGGAAGCAGTTGCGTCATAATCACGTGGCAGTCATGAGATTTTAGGTTCTGAAACTTTTTCTCTGGCATATTTAGTATTCCCTTTATATTCGACGAGAAGCCAGTCGGGACCTTCATACTAAGCAGGCATTCAAAGAAGATTTCCTTCTCTTCTTTGATAAGAGCGTAGCTGGCAGGACCTTCATACTGCTTTGGAGGCATGTCATCTTTTTCGTGCAAACATTGCATGTCCTCCCGTGCCTCAGCTGTATCTTTTGTCTTCCCATACACGCCCAAGAAGCCTAGAAAGTTCATGCAAAGATTCTTCGTCACGTGCATCACGTCGATCGAAGAGCGGACCTCTAGGTCTTTCCAGTAGGGTAGGTCCCAAAATATAGATTTCTTCTTCCACATGGGTGCGCGTCCCTCAGCGTCATTCGGAACAGCTAGTCCGCCGGGACCCTTTCCAAAGATTACGTGTAAATCATTGACCATAGCAAGTACGTGGTCACCGGTACGCATGGCGGGCTTCTTCCGGTGATCTGCCTCGCCTTTGAAATGCTTGCCTTTCTTTCGACATTGATGGTTGGTCGGAAGAAATCGATGATGGCCCAGGTACACATTCTTTCTGCATTTGTCCAGGTATATACTTTCGGTGTCAGCTAAACAGTGTGTGCATGCGTGGTATCCCTTGTTTGTCTGTCCTGAAAGGTTACTGAGAGCGGGCCAATCGTTGATGGTTACAAACAGCAATGCGTGCAGGTTAAATTCCTCCTGTTTGTGCTCATCCCACGCACGTACACCGTTTCCATTCCACAGCTGTAAAAGTTCTTCAACTAATGGCCTTAGGTACACATCAATGTCGTTACTGGGTTGCTTAGGGCCTTGGATGAGAACTGGCATCATAATGAACTTCTGCTTCATGCACATCTAAGGAGGAAGGTTATACATACATAGAGTCATGGGCCAGGTGCTGTGATTGCTGCTCTGCTCCCCGAAAGGATTAATGCCATCCACGCTTAAACCAAACCATACGTTCCTTGGGTCACGTGCAAACTCAGCCCAGTACTCTCTCTTGATTTTTCTCCACCGCGACCCGTCAGCGGGTGCTCTTAACTTCCCGTCTTTCTTACGGTCCTCATTGTGCCATCGCATCAACTTGGCATGCTCTTCGTTTCTGAACAATCGTTTCAACCGTGGTATTATAGGAGCATACCACATCACCTTCGCAGGAATCCTCTTCCTACGGGGCTCGCCGTCAACATCACCAGGGTCATCCCGTCTGATCTTATACCGCAATGCACCGCATACCGGGCATGCGTTCAAATCCTCGTACGCACCGCGGTAGAGGATGCAGTCATTAGGGCATGCATGTATCTTCTGCACCTCCAATCCTAGAGGGCATACGACCTTCTTTGCTATGTACGTACTGTCGGGTAATTCGTTATCCTTTGGAAGCTTCTTCTTCAATATTTTTAGTAGCTTCTCAAATTCTTTGTCAGGCACAGCATTCTTTGCCTTCCACTGCAGCAATTCCAGTATGGTGTCGAGCTTTGTGTTGCCATCTTCGCAATTGGGGTACAACCTTTTTTTGTGATCCTCTAACATGCGATCGAACTTCAGCTTCTCCTTTTGACTTTCGCATTGCGTCCTTGCATCGACAATGACCCGGCGGAGCTCATCATCATCGGGCACATCGTCTGGTTCCTCTTGATCTTCAGCAGCTTTCCCCGTTGCAGCATCATCGGGCACATCGTCTGGTTCCTCTTGATCTTCAGCAGCTCCCCCCGTTGCAGCATCACCGTATTTAGGGGCCACATAGTTGTCATCATCCTCTTCTTCTTCGTTGTCTTCCATCATAACCCCTATTTCTCCGTGCTTCGTCCAAACATTATAGTGTGGCATGAAACCCTTATAAAGCAGGTGGGTGTGAAGGATTTTTTGGTTAGAGTAAGACTTCGTATGCCCACATATAGGGCATGGACAACACATAAAACCATTCAGCTTGTTTGCCTCAGCCACTTCGAGAAAATTATGCACGCCTTTAATGTACTCGGAGGTGTGTCTGTTACCATACATCCATTGCCGGTTCATCTGCGTGCATTATATATAATTATGTGTGTCAAAAGTAAGAAAATCAGACAAGTATCTATCTAAAGTAAGAAAATCAGACAAGTATCTATCTAAAGTAAAAAAAATCAGAAAGAAGATAAGAACAAGAGGCTCACCACGGTGGTATCGGCGACGAGATCGGCGCGGGCGATCGACGGCGGTGAAAACGGGGATGGGGCGTGACGGGCCGCTAAATCTAGACAAATCTCGGGAAAAATGGAGCTCCGAGGTTGAGCTTCGACAGGAGAAAGCTTAACTAGTGTGGCTCGGGCATTTCATCGAACACCTCATCTGTATAGGAGGTGAGCTAGAGCATCCAAATGCACTCCCCTTGCCGGCCAGAAAAAAAACAGAGCACTGTGGAGTGCTCTACTGCGGCGATGGGGTATATATAGGCAGCTTATTTGTCCCGGTTCGTGACAGGAACCGGGACTAAAGCCCACCTTTCTCGGTTCTAGGCACGAACCGGTACCAATGGCTGTGGGCCAGGAGCGTGGCCCATTGGTCCCGGTTCGTGCCTAGAACCGGAACAAATGGATCCAGACGAACCGGGACCAATGTCCACGAGGCCCCGGCCTGTCCCCTGGGCTCATGCACCGGGACTAATGCCCCCATTGGTCTCGGTTCGTGAAGAACCGGGACTAATGGACTGGCCAGACCCGAACCAAAACCCTATTTTCTACTAGTGGAAATATGTACATTTTTCAAGGGTAGCAAATTTTGTAATAACATGTTTCTATTTTCTATTTTACTATGTACATAGCATCCATGGCTAACTTTGGATGCTACATGTAACGTTCAACAATCGCGTTGCTTTCTGTGAGAAAGGATTGCTTACTCAAAGCATTTAAATTAATTGCTTATGTTACTGCCTCAAGCTATGTTTCAGCATACCCAATGACCCGAAGTCTCAGTGATTAGGCATTATGGGACCCAAAATTATCATAAGTGCTAGAAAGAGAAGTTGCCATCAAGATAAGCATAACCAATTACCAGAGCCACATGTACCCTCGATTGTCAGAGACGGCAACCCTGAAGAGTTTAAATGAGAAGCTGATTATTAGCCATCAACATGATTGGGTAAGTTTTGCTCCTTAGTGCAACATTATTCCAATAGTCAGTTTATTACGTGATACATCTAGTCAACCTACCATTTAGGTGGCACCAGCGAGATCCAGCTAAGGTAAGAAACTTCTTTGCGAAATGCCTAGTCAAAGCCTTTGAAACTATGCATTTTGAATTATCCAGACACTAATTAATAATTTAATGTGAGATTGTATGTTTGATGCATTCAGCTTCATTATTCTACTACGTCGCAAGTTCCTAACCATGTCGTTGGAAACTCTGTAGGCAGTAGGCTTGTAACGAGTTGAAGCCACTGCCATCAAGCAGCTTCCCGGAGGAATATCTGATCCGTTGGCTCTTTTACAACGATCCAGATATCCAAATGATTATTGCAAAAATACATTAGGTTCCTCATTCAGAAAAGTTGTCCAATTATCATCTGTCCTGTTTGCATGGTCAATTTCAGAAGCTTGAATTCAAGTGCACAAATCAATCTGTGATTTGCCTTTTCTTCTCTATGGGCTGCAGCGGCGAGCAAATACTGAAAGAACTTTCTGCCTGTGGTAGTATTATTATACTCTGCGTGTGTACTTAACTTATGCTCTTTTTTAATCTGAACACTGTGAAGAGAAGCTACCATCTTTTTATTGTCTATAAAATTGAAATGTGTGTTTCCTTGTGCACACACCATAAATGGAAATGCACTTTCTTATCAAAAGGCATGAATTATGCCTCGTCCTATGAATCTGAATATACATTTAGGGATTTGTGCTTCAATTCTATGAAGAAAGTATAAGGTGAACAACTACTACCGTTTGCTGGAATTACATTTAGGGATTTGTGCTTCAATTCTATGGAAATATACCGTTTGCTAATTACGAAAATTGGTTATGAAAACTGAGCCTCAAATCTGGAAGAAACACATTCGTATACCAAAATAATTGTCCGATTAGCACCTCCTTAGTTATGAAACTTTTCACACAAAAGTGCACAACACTTAGGTAGGCAAAAAACTTGTATACCATCGTCAGGGATGAGCCTAGCGAGGGTGGCAGCTCCTGTCTATCACCGATCGGTCGTCCGACGGCGGGACCTGCCAGTGATAACCACTCTGCAACAGGAAAAAAGGATTATGTCTTAGCCATCGTTAATAACATATTTTTTTCTTTCTTATGCAATGTAGCATGTCATCTAAACAAGCAATAAAACATGTTATGCAATGAAGTACTATGTCTTAGTGTTATTTCTAATCATTAATGGTTGTATGCGCAAACAAAAATTATTGGTGATTAGTGCTTCAACTCCAGTAGTTTTTGCCTATGCACGGTCAGTAGCACATGCGTGGCTACTCAAGTTAAACAGATCCAGGTTTTATCAGTTAGGCGCAAATAAATATCTGTGAGTAAGCCGCATTATCTGTGAGTAAGCCACATTAAATAACATTTTGAAGTAAGAATGGGAGGATAAACTCCTACAAGTATTGCTTGTTTTTAGAAAATAATCCATCGTCGTCTAGTCCGGTTAGGATATCTGGCTTTCACCCAGACGACCCGGGTTCAAATCCCGGCAATAATGGAATCCAGCGCTTTTTTGCCACCGCAGTGTTTTTACCCATTTTATAATTTTATTATACTATGTCTGGGTGCCATCCCCATATTTTGAAGACATCTGAATATTTATGACTTTACTTTTCTATGGTGTTCTTTTCATTGTTTGTGCCCTTGGTAACATATCAACAAAGGGTGAACACATCCTCTCTTTCTTTCTGCCAATCATATATATATACTGCAAAGAAAAATTGAGAGATGTTCAATGGCCTATGCGGATGCTTAATGCGTACATGGAGCAGCTCAATAGAAGCATGCAAAAATGCAACATTTCCTGAATTAGGAAACCCAATTTGTTCCATGGAAATATGTACATCAGGCAACATTTCATCCAACCAAAATAGAACTACATACAATTTTTTTGCTTCAGACATGTTGCGACAAAAAATGCTTTCAAGAATATTTTGGGCATGCCGACTCAGCCCAATGTCGATTCCATGCCGTGACAAAATGGCATGAGCAGGGTAGTAGTTCTTCAGTCATTCACAGGCTACTGGATGCTCCCCTCATTCCAGCAGCAGCTGTTCTAACTCATCAAAGGCGTCGGTTTCGTTTTCGTCATGGAATTCTCCAGATTCGTCGTTGTCAACCACCGCCAGTTCATCATGGGGAGATACACCTGTTTTCTGGTAGAACTCTTCCTTCTGGGCATCCCACTCTTTGACGATTTCCTCTACCTTGTCACCCAGCAGTTTGTCATTCTGAAGGATGTGCTTGGCATCTTCCACATCAACAGTTTGGCTTGCCTCTGCCAAGGATAGCGATAGGGTCAATGACAGTCCCAATGCTACAAAAAATCCAAGTAGTATAAAATGATGATGAGAAGAGATAAGCACCTGCAAAGGCTGATTCTTTGGCTTTAGCGTAGTCCATTGACAGTTTCTTGATGCTGTCAAGTTCAAACTCCACTCCCTAGATGCAGATTGATGTGTCAGCAACAGAAGAGAAAATGAATACCATTGATACAAAATAAAAAAGTGATTGCCTCATCCTGATATTGTTTCTTATAGTGATATTGCCAGCACTACACAGCTTAGCAATTCTTTATTCAAACCATTAACTGGAATCGTTGCAGGCTACATCAATCACTAACATTGGCAGAATGAAGGGGGGCAGGCGGTGGAGTGGATAAAATAAATGATAACATCAACCCTAATGGCAATGCACTGGAGTGTGTTAAAAATGAAACTAAAAAGAGGCCATGAATGGAAACAGACTAAACTTACCAAGTCTGTGTGCATGTAACTCCCTATTTGAGTATTTGCAAACAACCTGGAATATAAAAAAAACATTCAGAATATTAGTAAGTAATCAGTAATGTGTTCCTGTCTGCATACAGAGAATATAGCGAAGGCAAAAGCTTACTACCCTGCAAGAAGAACACACAAATGCTAATGATGAAGATCAGACAAGACAAATGGTAAAGAAGAAAATCCACATACTTGTCACAGGCAAATTTCACCCGTTTATTCTGGGATGCATTCATTTCATCAACCTCCTTTGCCTCATTGTCACCAAGCAAATTTATGAACCCAAACAGAAACATGCCTTTGTCTAGCATCCTTTTGACAAGTGCTGGTACAAGAGCAAGCCCATTCTGCTTAGCCTCAATGACAAAGTCTTTGAGTTTCTTGGACTCCTCTGTTGCAATCACATATTCAGGGAATTGATCTTTCCAATAAGCCATAAATCAGTGACTAAAAATATACCTTACCAAGAGACAGATAAATTTTGTAGTGTGGCTTGTATGGTTGGCACTCATAAAGGCAGTAAAGGCAGTAAAGCCCAGGCAACCTCTGAAGTAGAGAACTTTGGGAAGTCATATGGCCTACATAGACAAGAAAAATAAAATACATCACCAGTGCTGTAAGAAAGATTGTTGCAGGTAAAGTGGCAATTTCAAGGAAACCATATAGCCTACCAATACAATGCAAAAAGAGGGATTGCATAAAAACGCCTGAATTCGTCTTGGGTCGGCCTTCAAAGATATAAGAAAACTTCTTGGCCATCCACACTCTCTTGAAATCGGTGAATGACGTACAATTTTCCTGCCAAACAGAAGCACAAGGATGCTGCTTATTTAACATTTATATGAGCATGACACACCTTGACTAACTGCATGACAGAAAAAGGAAATCACCTTGGCATAATCATCTAGTAGCTCATCAATATCCAGCTTGAAAGGAGCAAGATCCATACTTACAGTCGACGGCAAACGTGAACCTGAATCCAGAAAAAAATTGCCCCACTTCAACAATAACAATAACAACAACTGCTCGCTTCAATGAGAAATGTAATACTGAAACGGGCACCATCTATCAGAGAACTCCACGGAGAGAAATAGAAGGCCTAAATGATGCAACAATGCTTTCTGCAGTTTGCTTGTTCTCCCTTTGATGGGACTTTTGAGCTTGGTTATTCAGTCCTCCTTATCAATTTGGTGACATCGTCCACTTTTTTTTTGGGCATTGCCGTTGCTTTCAAAATGCAGTTAGTACTTTTAACTATCAATTTAACAGGTAGTTAAATGCATCTTTTTTAAGCTGTAACAGCAGCAATTTACTAAAACTAGTAAGCAAGCAATCACCAAACTAAATAGATTGCACTGCACAACAAAGTAAAACCACAATCTGCCCGTGAGTCTAGAATTATCTCTAGAAAACTCGGCGATTCTACTAGTTCCGAAAGAAGTGATAACAAAGCATTCATGCTGCAGGACCTGATGAGAAATATAATCATGTGTATAAACTGGTAGCAAATCGACCCTAGTGACCACTGACCAGGGAGACCTCAGGATTGCCTAATGAGTGAATTCAACCAAAGATGCTAAGCTGCTGCCGGAATAGTTAGGGAGGAGAACCTACAGCGCGAAAGAATCGTTCTCGGACTCACCGGAGAAGAAGAAGACGTTGCCGAGGTGGCGTTAGCGAAGAACACGAAATTACGACGGTAGGGGCCTGCTCTTGGACACGGGGCTGCAGAGGGGTGGGGAAGGAGAGGGCCGGAGGCTTCGCGGCGGTAGGATGCAGGGGCGGAGGGGCGTTGGGGCAACGGCCGCCGCGGCGCAGTGAGGAGGGGGCCGCGCGAGCTGGATGTGCGGCGGCCTAGGGTGGATTGGGAGACGCGGCAGGGGAGCTTGATAGGGGGCAGGACGCACTCGAACTCGGCCGCGGCGGCGCCGCCTCCCTCTAGGGCTCGGAACGGCCTGAGCCTGATGCGGATGGCGGGAGCTGCGGAAGAGGCGGCGGCTGCAGGCGTGCGTGCGCCTAGCGAGCCAACAGAAACCTGCGCACCGGTGAGGAGACGGGCACGCCTACACCACACTCTGCTCCTCAGGGCGTTGCGAAGGGCCCGGCCCAGGTAGGTTCCAGGTAAGCTCATCTTTTCTCCTATTTTTCCCTTTCTTCTTTTTTATTTTTTATTGTATTCTTATTATTTACCAAAATATTGTAAGCACATATATTTACAAACATAAAAACGAATAAAAAACCTAAAATCGTGAATTTTAATACTGTTAATACAATGTAAAACAATTGTTAGCTTAATTAGAAAATGTTGATAGAATATTAGAAAACGGTTTTTGACTTTTTTTTGAACACAGTACAGAAGCAGACGCCCATAGATACATACACACATACCCTCACCCTACCTCTATGAGCATCTCCGAGAGACTGAGCTAGCATATCATCTTGAGATCTAAAAATATTCAGGTATTTCAAAAATACATGTGAAATTTATGAAAAATGTTAATCATATACTCCCTTCATCCCAAAATTAGTGTCTTAAATTTGTACTAGCTCTAGTAAAAAGTTATACTAAGCTTCATACACTTACTTTGGGATGGAGTAGAAAATATGTTAAATGTATATAAAAGAAATGTTTGAAATATATATGAAAAATGTTAATAGCATACAAAAAAAAGTTTGTGACATTTCAAAAATGTGCACGTGTTTCAAAAATCATATGTCACATTATAAAAAATATTAATCATGTGTTTAGCAAATGTTAAATGTATATCAAATAAATATTTCTGATGTATATGAAAAATGTACACTATTTTATGAAAAAATTAGACATCAAACATGCATTTGCAAGAAATGTTCAATCGGCGAAGGTTTTTGGTGACAAGACTTGGAGATATCAGAAGTGAGAATGCTGACATGAGTAACAAGAAATCATGTGAAAAACACGATCGCCTGCCAGTGGAAGGCTTTCTGCGTCAGTCAATCTACATAGAGTGAATCGGTCCCTAAGGAACCCCCGAAAGGGATGTCGTCCGATGGTACACGAAAGTGACGAAGTTGCTTTCTTTGTTACTCTCGTAATGACGTTTCGAAAGAAATCAAGGTTACCAGGTCACAACTCTGATTCTTTTTTCCTTATAGAACCTTCCTGCAAGAAATCAGTGGAAGTGGGTTCGCCCCTACAACTCATCAAATCTGCCTTCTTTTCTGTTCTGCGTTGTACATATTCTCAAGTTATGAGAAAGAATGGATTTGAATACTTAAAGATGTTAATCATGTCTTAAACCATGTTAAATGTACACAAAAATGTTCTTGATGTATACAAAAAAAGTAGGCATCAAAGAAAATTATTAAAAAATTGTGTATTTTAAAAATGTTTACCATGTATATAGAAATAAAGTTTCACATGTACGTGAAAAAGGTACATAGAAGACAGAGGAAACATGATACAAACAAAAAATAGAAAACAAAAGAAATTCAATCGAAAAGACCCTAAAACCGAAGAAAACCCGATGAAAACCATAAAAACACATAAAAAGAAAATAAAAAACTCAAAAAAACTGAGAAAAAGAAATATAAATGAAGAACTCTAAAGAAAATCAATGAAAACCAAACATAGAAACATAGAAAACTTAACAAAACGAAGAAACCAAGAATAAAAGAAAAACCAAGAATAAAGAAAGAAAACCATTGAAAAACAAAGAAAGCATAAGGTATAACAAAGAAAAAAAGAAAACCCCAAGAAAACTGATGAAAAACATCGCAAAACAAAACTAATTCAAAAAAGAAAAAAAAACAGAGCGAGCTGACCGAACGCAACGGTCGGACGCTGACGAGCGAGCTCTCACGTTCTAGTGGGCTAGCCCATATGGCAATCATTGAGGGAGAGCAGAGCTATCATCTTGCTATAAACGAGATATAGCTCCCGTGCATGAGGAGTGGAGGAACACATCATGAGAGGAGGGCGAGCTTTTTTTTCATTTTTGCTGCTGGTGCATGATTAGGCCTGCCTTTCACGCATTGGTGGGCTGGACGCTGAGCTGCTAACCTGAACTAATCAAACATAGGCTAGATATAGTAGAGACATGCATTGTCACCACGACCGATGGTCACAGAGATGAGTACTTTCCACCTTATCAAGATACCACAACAGTTGTATGCGGCATACATTCAAACACATAATTAAACACAGGAAACAATTCAGATTCATGTACCACAACAGACAACAATATATACACCACGTACACGTCAAATAATGAGATAATAACACATGTTTGACTAGATGGGTCAATTCTGGAGCCCGGCTCAATTCAGTTACACAATAGGTCGATTTTGAAACTTGGCAAGGTCGGCACGCAATTTCCCCATGGAAAGTTGGTCTCCTTTGAGCACAACTTCCTTGAGCCTTGGAAGATGTTGAAGCCTGCTACGATGTTTCTGACTGTAGGTATCAGAGAGCTACAATACCTCAGACTTACATGTCCCTCCTAGCGAAAAATCCAGCGATTTCAGGTCATCTAGGCAATCTAGGTGCAGCATCACTAGGCTCGGAAATGCCCAAACTAAAGTGGACCTCTTCTTCAAACGACTTCGTCCACAGACACATGATGGCCAGGATCGGCAACTTCCCAAGGACCTGTATGGCAGCACTATAGGCCAATATCCTAGAATTGCGCACTTCAGCTTCATGAGATTTCTAAGGCTCTGGAATCTAGATCCATGCAGGCAATCTGATGATTGCCATACAATTTAAGGCTCTGTAGGTTTTCCGGAGGAGTGGGCATGTCATCTAAGTAGCCAGATAATCTAGGCATCCCTTCTGAGCCCATTGACAAGGATTTCAAGCGACTGAGATGAGAAACCGTTGATCTCGTCGCTCTAGATTATTTCTCTTGTTAATGCCAGTCACTCCTAGCTTCCGCAACCTATTGAGTGTTTTTATGTTCTGAAGAATGGTCGTCCCGCGTGAGATGTTCACAACACCCAGTGTGTGTAGGGCTTTCAATTTTCTCACCCATCTTGGTACTACAACATCATGTGTGTCCAGCTTCATCGCAACAACAGGCACTGCACAAGTCACGGTGGTTGCTGTAGTAAAGATCCAAGTCTGCAAAACAATGTGCATAAAGTACCATCGATGAGATGGTCAAAAGGCATGCATTGATCCTCATCGTCCCTTGCAAGTCCTCTACAACTTGTTCATACGAGATGTCCTTGTGCATGGGTTCCTTACCAACATGAAATGGTTTAGCTTCCAAAGTTTTCTGACCCTAAGTGGAAACTTGACTTTATCACTATACCTCTCAAGTCTAGTTTCTCAAGTTGTTTTAGGTTGCCCAGAGAAAATGGCAGGTGATAAATAGGAGGACATCCTCTTAAAGAAAGGTACTTTAGGTGAAAAAGCTTCATAATGTCGTTAAGGTGATGATCAAACACACCCAAGGTGCCCTCCAAGTCCAGCACTCGGAGCAACCTTATCTTAGCTAAGAAGTGGCTTGTCGAAAAGAAGAAAGGGATCAACAAACATAGGAAGTACGAGATGGCGAGAACAACAATGGTGTTGGAAATATACCCTAGAGGCAATAATAAATTAGTTATTATTATATTTCCTTGTTCATGATAATCGTTTATTATCCATGCTAGAATTGTATTGATAGGAAACTCAGATACATGTGTGGATACATAGACGACACCATGTCCCTAGTAAGCCTCTAGTTGACTAGCTCGTTGATCAATAGATGGTTACGGTTTCCTGACCATGGACATTGGATGTCATTGATAACGGGATCACATCATTAGGAGAATGATGTGATGGACAAGACCAAATCCTAAGCCTAGCACAAGATCGTGTAGTTCGTATGCTAAAGCTTTTCTAATGTCAAGTATCATTTCCTTAGACCATGAGATTGTGCAACTCCCGGATACCGTAGGAATGCTTTGGGTGTACCAAACG